AGGGTTATCTGTCCAACAGGTATGCCAGTGTTCTGTTTAGGGGAGTCAAAAGTACCAGAATGAGATCATTTGAGCTTGGCACGCCTCAGGGAGGAATGTTAAGTCCTATGTTCTTTAATATACTGATGCACAAGCTTATTGCTGACATTCCAGTTCAACCAAATGAGGCTGTAATATGCTATGCTGATGATATCTGCATTATGACACAGAACAAGCTCAGACTCCAAGCTTTTCTGGATGTATTTGCTCGGAGGACTGTGGAATGTGGTCTCATAATATCTGTTAACAAGACGAAGGTCCTCAATCCTCATCGTGTTCACCCTCTGCCTCTTGACTTTAACATTAACAGCATGCCCTTGGAACTATGTAGCTCTTATAAATATCTTGGAATTTGTGTGAATGATGCAAACTTTGTCGGCAACCTTTGTGCCAAACTAATGCAGAGAATTAAACCCCTCAGAACCCTTGCTGGCAAGGGCTATGGAATTAACATCACCTATGCTCGTACTTTCTATCTTCACTTCATTCGTTCTGTAGTTGACTATCATGCTCTCCATCTTGTGACTATTCTGCCTAAAGAAATCAACAGCCTTGAGGTAGTGCAAAATGAAGCCATGCGCATCATTCTAGGTTGCCCAAAATCAACCAGAATTGTAGACATGAGGAAAGAGCTCGGACTGCCCTCCCTATCTGATAGGATAGCTCTACTTAATACCATGTTTTGTGTCAAAGTTTTGAAGAACAATGGTTCCCAAACTACAGCTCAAACTGAGTTGATGTTCTATCTAAGTAATCCCGACCATCTCGCTAACTTTGCACAAAAGACTCTCTTTGGGGCGTGGCTTCATAAAAGTGTTGCAGATTTCTTGAAACTGAATGTCCCAATCACCCCAGACGAACCCATTAATACCATTCCTCCTTGGCTGGATATATCAGATCCTATTTATTACACTCCTGTTGGTAGTAAGCAAATGTTAAACACCGGTGTGATGAGATGTGTCTCACTAGAAACTATTAACACACACATAGAGAGTATTAAATCAAGTAAATGTTATGCTTTTGCTGGTGGTTCTGTGCAGACAAACAGGTAGAACAGGCTGTGCAATTGTAATATATATAGAAAAAGAGATGATAGTGTCAAACAAGCAAAGGCTGAACAACTGGGCCAGCACAACACAAACTGAACTAACTGGAATCTACTTAGCCACAGACTACCTTAAAGAAAATGGAGGTGGGGTGATATTCTGTGACTCTCAAAGTGCTTTGAAATCAATGAACAGCCCGTCAGGTTCTATGTCTAAAGTTGTATGTGATATTAAAAGGAATGTGATAACTGCCAATGAGAACAACTCTTGTATTGAATTTGTGTGGATTCCGTCCCATGTTGGAATCAGGTATCATGACCGTGGCGATAAACTGGCCAATGAGGCATGTAAGAAAGAAAATGTTGACCGTGATCTTGGCCTGTCCAATGCTGTACTTAAAAACATTCAAGTCAGAATCATGAAGTCTGATCTAGAAGAACTGAGAAATGCAGAGACCTGGCAGTTGTAGCATTAGTAAATATTACAAATTTTGTGACAAGAGGTACCGGTATGGCCAGCATAAGGACAGAACCAGACAATGTGATGTAGTCGTGGCCAGAATTAGGCTAGGATACAGACACATCTGGCAAGTTAGTAACGCTGTACCCATACCGCAACACTCAGCCTGTAAACTTTGTGATAAACCTTTAAAGCATATACTTGAACACTATATTATTGAATGTGACACTCTCAAAGACTTCAGGCCACCTGGTTTATTGTATCATGAACTTTGTAATTACTACATTGAATCGGGGATGCTTGAGGACAACCTTGCTGTTTCTCCCAAATTTGCTAGCCCACACTGATTAGTCTTCAATTAGAATATGACGTCCAATGTATATGAACCACTGTCTCGCAGGGCAGCGAACAGTGACATCACCCACATTACTATGACCTGTATGTACTGTTAATGAATATGATGCATTTCTTTGTGAACGAGCCTCTGTCCTGCATAGCAGTGAACAGTGACTTTACCCACATGAATCTGACCTTTTCTATACTGTTAATGAATATGATGTATTTCCTTGTGTACGAACCTCTGTCCTGCTTGGCAGTGAACAGTGACATTACCCACATGAATCTGACCTATATATACTGTTAATGAATATGATGTATTTCCTTGTGTATGAACCTCTGTCCTGCGTGGCAGTGAGAAGTGATACCACCCTTAGTGTCAAGACCTGACTGAATTACTCAGAATAGGCAAACTGTACTACAAGCTTTGCCAATAAATTTGTTAAACTAAATCAAACTGTCTCACCTGCCTATTCAGCGCCTTTGCCAACTGTTGTCTGTCTGTTTGTGTACTTCCTGTTTGGCTGTGTTTACGTTTATATATAACAAACACTTTATCTCTCTGTATGTTAATAGGATTATCTGCATATGCGTTAGTGTGGCTGTCTGTCTGTTTATGAGTGTCTGTCAGTGTGTATGTCTGCAAGGCTGACTGTCAGTCAAGACGTGCACACAGACTTCGGGATGTACTGTACTGTACACAACGACCTCTGAATTTACTCAAAGGCTACGGGATGTACATAATGACCTCAGAATTTGCACACGTAAGTCTTGGGGTGTACATATATAAACCTCGGGATGCACACACACAAACCTTGCTATGTACACACATAAACCTTGCGATGTACACACACATAAACCTTAGAATGAACACACATATAAAACTTGGGATATATACAAACACTCACACATAAATATAACCTTTAGATAAATATGCACATAAACATTGGGGTGCACACAAACACCATGGGACTACACACATAAACCTTAGTGTGTACACACACACACACACACAAACACACATAAACCTTGGGAGATATATATGTGCACATAAACCTTCGGGTGCACACAAACACATAAACCTCGACTTGTACACTCAATAATTAGATACACATAAACCTTGGCACACACACACACACACACACACACACACACACTCCCAAAGGTACCTGGCTCCCGTAACCACCCACAAGATCTTAACTCCTTCTCACATACTCTTTACTGGGCCTTATGCCTCTTCGCTGTAAGGGTCATTTTCCTCTTATCTTACACGAGAGGCGACGTCACTTCCTCTACCCTCTTACGTCACGAGGTCATAAGAACCAGTTTAGTGTGTTATCGAGGGTAGGATCCTGCTGGCCAGCTACCTACTCTACTCCTTCACCTCCCGGGACTGTTGTTGCTGTCTCTCTCCCTAGCTCCCACCTTCCTTTTCCTTCGATTCTTTCCCCTTCTCTCTATCCCTCTCTTATCTTCGTCTTTCTTACTCTTTCATTTACCATTGCGTGTCCTTCTTCTCCCATCAAATCTTCCTTCTTTCCTTCCACTCTAAATCCTTCCTTTCATTTTCTCACTTTCCCGTCAACCTTTCCCTCATTTCCCCTTTCCATCAAACGCTCCCTCCTTCTTAACCCTCCCCCAGTCTCACACACACACACACACACACACACACACACACACACACACACACACACACACACACACACAGCTCAAAACACCAATATTATTTTCCTCGCGTCTGTCTCCTCTGAGAGATTGAGGGAGGAGAGGGGGAGGGGTTGAGACCGTCTAAGGGGGTAGAGACCGTCTAGAGGGAGGTGTGGGAGGGGGGCGTCTGGAACAGTCTTGAGAGAGAGAGAGAGAGAGAGAGAGAGAGAGAGAGAGAGAGAGAGAGAGAGAGAGAGAGAGATATATACTGGAGCCGGGAGACTCTTAGGTCGCATATTTGGAGGGGGGCGTGTGAGGGGGTGTGTGGGGGTGGTGGGGTGACCTCAGGGGGTGTGGTCGCTACCTCCAGAATGAATGAGCAGCACCAACACCTTGTCAGTTCTCTTGTGTGTTCCTCTGTTCCCTCTTTGTTTTATTTTCTCTCATTAGTTCTTCTCAATATTTATCTCTAATCTCTCTCTTGCCTTGTTCTTTAATTTGTCTCTATGTAATGTCATAATTATACGTGTTATTAATATTATTTTTTGTACAGTAAGTAGACAATATAAATAATGATAAGAACAATACTAGTAAAATAATAATGATAATACAATAATAATAATAATAATAATAATAAAAAGCGCTATAATATTTTTCTTATTATCATCGACCTCATCATCATCATCATTGTTGCTACCACCTTCATTCTTCACTAAGCACCTTAACGTATTATTCATTCCTATTCATAATGTTATTCTTTTTTCTGTACTGTCATTACATCTGCTTTTGTTGGTGACTGTTTTGTGAATTTCCTGCATTGTTCTTTTATCACATCTTCGTATTTTTGTTGCTTTTATATTTATCCAAGATTTTTTCAACTCCTTATTCTCATGTAATTCCTCTTCGTTATATATGTATTTTTTTTATCCTTTGGTTTCTTTGGTCTCAGTTTTTCTTTTATTGTCCTTTTAATTTTTCTTTATCCTATTTTCTTTTATCTTTATCTTTATCCTGTTCCTTTTTTTAACTTTTTTACTGATTGTCTCCGATATTCTCGTCAGTCTTAACTTCTTTTTTTTTCTTCCATCTTCCTCATTTTCTTTATTTTTGTCTTTATTGTCTTACCGATTATTATTTCAACATTTATTTCTCGTCTTCAAATGTTTTTTTCGTATTTTAAATCTTGATTATATTATTATCTTTTTAAACTTCTTGTCTTCCTTTGTCTTCTCTTTATTATTACTATTATTATTATTTCAACATCTTCGCTATTCTAATCTTTGTATTGTTCTTATCTTTAATTTTCTTTTTACTTATTATTATTATTGTAGTTCCTTCTTGTCTGTCTGTGTTTGAATGTTGGTCTTCGTGTACATAACAATCAATTTGTCTGTCAGTCGTCAACCTCCTGTTAACACCTCGTGACATCATCAGTTGCTTAACACTTTTATGCACCCATATTCTGGCATGTCTTCACGTAACATGATTAAGGGCATCACCGTGTATGCCCTCGTATGCCAGATGCTGCTTGAGGTAGATGGTTGTGGTTATATTGGCATTATTAAAGGCATTTCCATGTATGCCCTCGTATGCCAGGTGCTGCTTGAGGTAGATGGTTGTGGTTATATTGGCATTATTAAAGGCATTCCCATGTATGCCCTCGTATGCCAGGTGTTGCTTGGGGTAAATGGTTGTGCATTCTGTTCCCGTTATATTAAAGGTTACATTTTACATACGTTAATACTAAGTTACTAACATTATTAAAGACACGCGGGCGGCCCTGCATGTAAGGTGTTGCTTGATGAGGGTGGGTGTGTACCTTCCTCGTTGGTTAAAGGTTATTTTTTACTTGATATTCAAGTCATGGTCATACAAAAAAACAAGCAAATATTAGACGAAAATAAATAAACAAATAAATAAACTAATAAACAAGTAAACTAATAAATAAATAAATAAATAAACTGATAAACAAATTAATAAGTAAATATATAAATTATCAATACATATTCTGAAATTAGTCATGGCTACGTTAGTGAAGCGTGGCTCGTCCGTCTGCCAGTGTTCATCGTATGACGTATTTGAGAAAACTCCTTCAGGTGTAAATATACTGTCAGTCAGTCAGTCAGGTAAGGTAAGGTGACTAACGCATGGAAACCAGATGATGGCAGTACAATATAATATCAAATATCCAGAAAATATCTTTCTAAAACCTGATCAAATTACAATACAGTATATTCAAATTATTCAGTGTTTTAATCATTACTATTATTATTATTTCCATCATCATTATTATTACCACCATTTCTATTGTTATTGTTATCATTACTACAGGATTATTATTATTATTATTATTATTATTATTATTATTATTATCTTCAATCCTTTTTTCTCCGCCCCCCCCCCCAAAAAAAAACAAAGCTCGCAGAAAGGAGAGAAAGACTTATGGTGCAGGAAGAACTTAAAGGCTGTGCATCATAAATAGACGTAATAAAGCAAGAATGTTACAAAAACTAGGTGCTGGTGGGGGGAACAGGTGGACAGCGGGGGATGGGGGAGGGGGAGAAGAGGTGGACAGCGGGGAGGGGAGAGGAGGAGATTAGAGGGGGTGGTGAGGGAACAGGTGGAGACTGGAGGGGGGTTAAGGAGGAAGGCAGGTGGAGAATGGAGGGGAGAGGAAGCTAAGGAAGAGGAACAGGTGAAGACTGGAGGAGGAGGAGGGGAAAGGTGAAACAGGTGGAGGCTGGAAGGGAGATAGGAAAGGTAGATAGGACTTGGGGGGGGAAGTGGAGTGGAGAGAAAAGGGAAGGAGTAGAGTAGAAAGGAGAAAGGAGTAGGGAAAAACGAAGAAAGGAGTGTGGAAGAAGTGGGGAGACGGGAAGGAGTGAGGTGTAGGGGAAGAAGTAGTCAAGGCACACGAAGATGTTGGAGAGGAAAATGAGAGAGCTGGATTAGGAGGGAGAGAAGAGAGGAAAGAAGAAGAGTGCAGAAGAGGTGTGAAAGAAGAGACTAGAGGGAGAAGAAGAGAGAGAGGAGAAGAGGAGGAGGGAAGTATGGTAAAAGGGAGAGGAAAGAAAGGCTGCAAAGGAAGGAGCAAAGAGGGAGAATTGTGAGGGGGGGAGACAGGGAGAGACGAGTGTGAGGCACGGGACAGCGAAGGAGAAGTGGGGGGTGAGAGGGGCAGGTGAGGGAGGAGAGAGGGAGGGAGGGAGGGAGGAGAGGGAGGGAGGGAGGGAGGAGGGAGGGAGGGAGGGAGGGAGGAGGGAGGGAGGGAGGGAGGCAGGTGAGGGAGGAGCGATTGAGGGGTGGGCAGGTGAGGGAGGGAGGGATTGAGGGGTGGGCAGGTGAGGGAGGAGGGTATCAGGCAATGAATGGAGTGCATTCTAATGTGTGATCACCACCTGACTCTGGACGGCCCAGCCAAGGCTGCGGGGAGCCTGGCCTGCCTCTCTCATCCCTGGGGGGTGATTAGGGGGAAGGAGGGAACTGGTTGAGAGGAGAGATGGAGGAGGAGGAGGAGGTGAGAGATAGGGTAGAGGGCAAGGAAGAGAGGAAAGAAATGACCGATGGCATAAGGGGTGAAGGTATGGAGAGAGTAAGGAGTAAACAGAGCAAGAAAGTAAGTGGGGAGGGATAAAACAGGTAGAAGAGTAGGGAGGCTGAAGGGGAGTAAGAGGAGACAGAAGAGACCAGGAAGGGAGGGAGAAGATAGTGTAAGAAGGTGGAGGAAATTCGAGGTAAGAGGCGATAAAGGGAGAGAAAGGAGGAAGAAAGAGTGGGTAGGAAAGACATGAACAAAGGTGGAGGAGGGAAGGAGAAGAATGCAACGGAGCAATGATGAACAAAGAATAAGAAGAAGAAGAAGGAAGACGGGGACATCAAGGAATAAGTAAGAGAAGCTGGTGTAAGGGAATGAAGGTGAAAGGAAGGGAATAGGAGAGGAGTGAAGCTTAAAGAAGGCAAAAGGAAAGGAGGAAAACTAGGAAAGGGAGTTTTGAGGAAGAGGACAAGGAGAGAGATTAACGAAGAGAATTTTTAGTGGAAGGGAATTAGGAGGAAGAGGGGGGGGAACTAGGGGAAGGAATTATGAGGGAAAAAACCTGGAGAGGAATAGAGGTGAATAGAGAAGAGATAGGACTTGGGGAGGAGGTGTAAGGGAGTGGGGAGTGGAAGAGGACTAGGGGAGGGATTCAGAGGAGTGGGACAGGAAGGGGAGAGGACGGGGGAGGGAAGAGGGGGGAGGAATCTGGGGAGAGGGCCAGGGGGGCCACCTTGGACCGGTACCGCTGCCGTCTGGTTCTCCTTTGTTCACTGTCTGGGGGAACTTGTTCATCCCTGGTGGGTGATTTGTTCATCTCTAGTGGGTGATGTGGGGGGAACTGTTCAGATAGTCAAGCCAGGGTGTTAGTCACGTGGGCCTGGCGTCACATACCTCACACAGGTTATGATATGACAGGTATATATCCCCCCCCACCCTTGGCCCCCCTACCTATGGTCTGGAAATTTGTGAGCCAAGTGGGTAGGGTAGGGCAGGGGAGGGAGAAAGAGGGGTAGGGTAGGGGAGGGGAGGGAGAAAGAGGGGTAGGGTAGGGGAGGGAGGGGATAGGGTAGGGGAGGGTAGGGTGGGGTGGGGTGGGAGGGGAGTGGGGGTAGGGAGGGGAGTGGTGGGGTGGGAGGGGAGTGGTGGGGTAGGGTAGGGTAAAACTAATGAACCAGGGACTGTCAAAATAGGAACAAAGAACACGATAAACAGTAACATAGGTGAAAAAAATAAATAAAATATAACAAAAAACAGAATAATGTCAGCCAATCAGTGAAAGTGAAGCTCGTCTCAATAAAACTTTCTAAATTAAACACAGAGCATAACTGTGGTACATATGTGAGGACAATACTGATTAGTGAACTGTTTCTACATGTATATAACGCGAAGAGGAAGAGAGAGATATTTCCATGTTGACCCACGAAGCCTTCCCTACCTCGAGTTACTGAACGAAAACATACCGAACGGCTAAACTGGTGTAACACTATTCTGCCCCCACAGAAGATAGAGATGAGATAAATAAAATAAAATTATGTAAGCGAAAGATTGATGAAAAAAATGAGAAATGGAAGGTACAGAAAAACAACAACAAGTAACTAAGGAAAATATAATGGAGAGAAAACGAGAGTAGAAACTGGTAAAGAGAGAGAGAGAGAGAGAGAGAGAGAGAGAGAGAGAGAGAGAGAGAGAGAGAGAGAGAGAGAGAGAGAGAGAGAGAGAACTGCAAAAATAAGATATATAAAAAAAAAATAACACGACGAGGCTAACTTTACCTTCTTCACAAATTACGTCATTGTTAAAAACCAGACCACTGTACCTGACCCTTACCTGCTACTCTCCCCCTCCCTCCCTCCCCCTACCCCGGTCTGTTATCCCCTCCCCATTCCCTCTCTCAGAATCTCTCACCCTCTCCTTCTTATTCTCCCATTGTCTCTCACCTTCACTCGTTTTCCTCCCTTTATTTTGGTTTATCTCTCCCTCTCCCTCTCCCTCTCTCCTCACCGGTTCTCTAATTACTCTCCCTTTTCTCATAAATTAAAAAGAAAAGGATACCTAAGAGAGAGGGGAAGAGAGAGTGGAGAGAGAGGGAAGTTGAGAGGGGAAAGCGGAGAGGGGAAATAGAAGGGAGAATGAGGAGACAATGGAAAGGAAGATAGTAAGGAGACGAGAAACAGACAGATAGACAGAGAAAACGGGTGAGAGATTGTGAGGAGAAGAAGAGGAGACATAGAGAAGGAGGAGAGGAGGGAGAGAGACAAGAAGAGAGAGAAGGGAGCCTCAGGGTATTTCGATGCTCCACAGATAGTTATCTCAAGACGGCGGCTGATCCCTATTTTGTATGTGTGTGTTCATGTCAGCTCTCTCTCTCTCTCTCTCTCTCTCTCTCTCTCTCTCTCTCTCTCTCTCTCTCTCTCTCTCACTAGTTAATTCTCCCTAGCAACAACCCCCTATATCCCTTCTCTACCCCCATCCCATCTCTCCCTCCCCCACCTTCCTCCCTCCCCTCACTTCCTTTACCCTCCACACCTCTTCCTTCCCTCCCCCTCTACCCTCCCCACCTGTCCCTTCCCTCCCCTCACTCCCTCTCCTCCACCCTCCCTACCTCTTTATATTTCTCCTAACCTACCCTCCCCACCCACCTGTTACCCACTAGTTCCCTCCGTTAACTCATGTATTGTGGAACCTTTTAACACCCGCCTCACCCTCCTGGCCTTTGTGAGACATTTACCCTCTCCTCCTTCCCTCCCTACCTTCTTCCCTGTTTCTACCCCTATTCTTTCCCTAACCTCTACTCCAACCCCCTCCCTTCCTACATCTGCACGACCTCCTCCTTGCCTCTTTCTTCCTTCTTCGACTCTCCTGTCTCTTCTTTCTCCCTCCATTCTCCTCCTGCCTTCTTCACATTCCTTCCTCCTCGTCCTTTCCTCTTCACCCTCTCCTTTTCTCCTCCCTTCTATACCTCCTCCCTCTCCCTACCCTATACATTCTCCTCTCCTTCCTCCACACACACCCTCTCCCTCCTACCTCCCCCCTGCCTTCCACACTGGAAGGAGAGGAGAGGAAGGACAGAGATGGTGAGTGAGATAAGAGACAGGAAGAGTAGAAAGGAGAGACGAGAGAAGAGACAGAAAAACAGAAGAAGGAGGAGGAAAAGAAAGTCAT